ATCTACATCCAGATGTTGCATGCTTAGTAAATATTTGGAAAGAAATCCACATTACTGCTTTTTGTCCAGAGTAGAGAAGTCACCTAAGTTACAATCTTTGGCATACTTGGGTAGAAAAAGGCCTACAACACCTAGCTATGGGATTGCACCGCAAGTCTCCCAGGAGTCTTCCCTTCCAGAATCTGGCAGGGCCCTTTGGACCCACACAGAAAACTGGCTTAGTGCTTCCTCCGCTGAGAGGTCTGCAATAGTAGAGGTGGCTAGTTTTGAGCCTCATCCCTTCTAAGACTTGGTGCCCCTTGTTGATACAGTGCCAATTTCATGTGTTCTTGAGCAAGTCCCCACTTCATCTATTTAGTCTTCTTCTGAAGCCTAGTGAGAGTTTGTGCACTTTCCTGCCACGGTGATCAAGTTCAAGTAACTGCTGTGGGCACTGCTCTCTTTCCCTGCCATGTTGGTAGAAGGACATGGGTGGCTTTTAAACCATTTCAACAAAATAAAATTTAAAAATTGCTTTTGTTGGCTGCTCCATGCAAAATTCCCTCCAGATCCCAGCTGGCCCAGGGAGCAGAGAGGGGAGCCAGTGTGCTGTGAGAGTTGTTGCTGTGATGGGTAATCTGATCTGGTGGTGGGGAGAGGCACCTGCGGCAACAAACTTCCACCTCAAACCCTGTGGAGCATGGAGTGTCTTGCTATGTTGGGTTGGGGCAGAGGAGAGGGGAAAGAAGGGGAAAAGGACTAGACTGCAGGAATGAAAAGCAACAGGAGCTAGGCTCTTAGGAGCACCAGGTCAGCCTGGACATTTGACCCGCAAGGCAGAGTCAGGCTGGGGGAGCAGAACCACTTCTTCCCATGAAGAAGCAACAAGTCTCCCCACCCCATACTTCCAAGGTTAAGGGATTATTTATGTGAGCCTTTGGGGAAAAGTGTACTACATCTGGCCATGCAGGCAGCTGTACTTTTCCACATCATTTCCACCCCCTTCTCCATTCCACTTCTCAAAACATCTATTTGCCTCTTCACCTAATTATCCAACCACAGAATCAGTAGCAGCTAGAGCCTGTACTTCAAAGGTTGTTGTTGTTGGCAAACAGTATCTTCTAGGTCTGCAAGGAACTCTTACTGATAGAAATCTCAGCAAGATCCAAGAAGTTCTTTTATCAAAGGAAATAAGGCACCCTGCCCCAGTTCCCCCAGAGCCATATCAACTCACACAGTTCTCTGGTTGAGGAACAGAAAAGGGGACTGAATTTTTACCCCTGCATACTCTGTTTGAGGAGGGAGGAACCACTCAGGTTGCTCGCCTTTAGTGTTCCTTCTTTGTACCTACTCTTTGCATCTCTTGCTTTAATGGTATGACTTCAAGGGAACCCAGATACAGAAGCACTATAGAAGAAAGAAACGCTGGATGCTTTTATTCTGAGAGCAAATAACATGGATTGGTCACTGATTCTAGGCACCACAGTACCCTCAGTGTTCCAAAATAAATTGCCTTCTGGGTACATCCTTAGTGACTTTATATGCACTCTTTTACCTAGTAATATGTGTTAACCAAGAATTATGATCGCATGGGAAAAATTATATTCTAGCACCTCTGTGTTCCATTAGAAATGCCATCAATCTAATCATCTAAGTTTTGTTATATATGGCTATAGATAGATTGGGAAGCCATTTTCAAACACTGGTCGAAATAATTTTGTAACCACATTTTCTGATGGTTAATTTAGAATGTGTGAGCAGCAGTACAGTTAAAACTGCTGCTTTCTCAAATCCAATAAACTACAGAGCTATATAATTGTTATTTTTCAACAATCTGCATTTGAAAACAGAAAAGACTAAAACAATAAAATAGATTTGGGTTGATAAATTGTGAATAAAATGCCCCAGCTTATTATCTCTCTTTGGCTCTCTGAATGATATTGCATGCAATGCTGGTCTTAACCTGACAGGTAGTTTGATCATGAATTACAGTTAAGATGGAACAGCATTTCATGGGCATTCATCACATCCTTTAAAATCATCACCCATTTTTGCGACTGTCAAGACTGGGAGAGATAAACCCTGATATGATGATACACCCTGATACAGCTGGAAGACCCCCCCCCCCCGCCCCTTTGTATAAGCTTTTCCCAAAGAAGAATTGAAATAGGTTATCGCCACAGGATAAACATAGTCTGAACAATCTGTGCTAGCCTCCTCCATCTTGGTACCCTCCAGATGTTTTCCACGATCAGCTCCAAACTGACAAAATGGCTAGAGATTATGGCAGTTGCATCCAAACCATCAGGTGGCAAACTAGAAATACTGAACAGTAAAGACACTTGGATTTACTTTCCAAAACACCAGAGGTCAAAAAATTTAGCAAAACTCTTTAGCATATTTCAACACCACAAAGGCTAGTCTTCACACCTAGGGCAAATTTTAAGGAGAAATTCCAGAAAAAATACTTTTTGAAAACAAGGAGGCCAAGTGTCCTTATCTATGGAGGAATTTAGGAAAAGGAAATAGGGAAAGCTTGCAAATGAAAGCAAATAAAGTGCATCTAATTCAGACTCATATGCTTTCTGTGCCTGAGGAGCAGCTTGGGTTTGGATGGGTCCAGGAAGATGAATACAGAGGTGTTGCTTCACCTGTGTATGGAAATACGGCATCAATTTGAAAAGCCACTTTTCAATCTAGGTAGAGTGTTATGTGGATTAATTGCAAAAGAACCCAATTTCTACTGTAAGTAGACCTGGTAGCCAATCAGAAATTCTGTTCTGTTTTTTTGTTTTTGGACTTTCATTACAGAAAATCTAGCCAGTTTAGACAAGTTAGCCTATCATAAAAAAGAGACTGAATGTTTGCTATTAAATGTTTCACTGTCAGGGTGCTAAATCACAGATTTTGGGATTGTTCATACAAAACAAAAGTCCAGTGCAGCTGCCATTTTGCATCTGTAGTTCCCAGAAAGGTCTACTTAGGGTTCTATGAGAGTTGTTTAACCCTCACACAGCCCACCTTCACTGGGCTCACATGGTACAAGCCTTAAGTGGCGGTGACATAGCCAGGCTGGTGCCTGCAGGTGTTGCAGCTTGTCATGGGTTAAGCTGTGGTATGTCATCTGAACCCAGTTACTGTCAGTCTGTTTAGCATATAGGCATCTGTCCTGTCACAACAGGATTCCCACCAATGAGCCTGTGGTTTGCTATGGCGCTGGCCAAAGATGGCTGACCAGTGAGCAATTAACCACAGTTAATGTTGCTTCAGGTTTTCATTCTTTCTGCTATCCAGTACCCTAATTCTATTCCATTTTCAACAGATAGCCTACCCCTCACAGGATGTGCAGCACAAATATAACACTTGTATTTGACTGCAGAACTTCCAAACATTTTTTAAAGGTAGGTCACAGAGCTGTGATACTGCAATTGCCAAAAGCATGGTCATTAAGAATAAGTTTCTACTGCAATGTCAGAGGAAGCTGCAATAAATAGAAGTCACTTTCAATTTCTATGACTGACATCTTCCAAGTTGTGTGGATTCTGTAGACTTGCACACCATTTTTTAACTTTTTGGAACTAGACACAAATTTAGTTCTATGAAAAAAGAAAGCTAGTGGGAAAATGCTATTTAAAAAAAAATAAAGCACAATATTTTCTGCATTCTTGATCTTTCTTTAGTTTCCATTGTTTAAATGGTGCTTTTGAGTGCTGAGCTAAGAAAAATATGCAAAATGTTACATCTCAGCAAAAGTAATGTAAATTATGGCAGACTTTGGGAAAATATCAGATTCAACGAGTAGACAATGTAACAAAAGACACTGGCAATATGCAAAACACAGATGGAGTGGCAAAATTTGTACTTTCATCATTTCTACTATTTTCTTTTCTAGTATTTTAAACAACATACAACTTACTTTGTGCATACTCTAACAATAGAACCAAAGAAACAAGTGATTCCAAAGCTGGCTTGCATCAAAATAGTCATTTTTTATTATGTAATTAAACAGAATTAAAGAGGGGAAATATAAAACATACCACATATACCTGAAATACATTCTTAGCAGTATAAAAACAAAACATAAGAACTGTGTCACATTTAGACAAATGCAAGTCCACATCAGGAACATTGGCAGAGGAAAAACTCCATTCTGTGGAGAAGATAAAAATGTCACAATGAAGTATTATGAAGCCATAACTATAGCCTCAGTTTATAGTTTGGGTGAAAATTTTGGGAACTTCAATTGTACAGGGGAAAAAGTAGCAGCTGACATTGTGATTTAAACACCAAAGTAAAACAGAAGGAAAACTACTACATAAATGGAGTACCAGTCAAACATTTTAAATAAGAATGCTACTGTTAAACATCTGCCATATTGCGAAATGTTATACAAGCCACATCTTAACAATAGGATCTTCATTTTTCACATTGAATAATGCAAGGCCTCTAGTAGTTGTCATATCTACTTTTTTGTTTAAAAAACACAGATAAAGATTTAAATGGCCTTCTTACCTTCTGAAACCGCAAGTGTTCTAACAATGCTTTGGCTGGGATCCAGAGAGGTCCACAGATGCTTGCAAAGTGCTTCCAAACATTCAAGGAGATGGTATTGATTGAGCTGGGAGCAGCCTATTCCACCACTATAGTGGAGGCATTGTGACTGGCAAGGGGAACTGGAAAATCCAACAACATTTTTGCACAAGCAAACTTCCACTTTCCTGGGCAGCCCCATGCACTAATTTCACATTTTATGTTCAACAGTGCCTCCCAAATCTGCTCTGGGGGAACTCCCAGTCCTCTAGAATAGATTTCATGAAAATGTAGTAGAGAAGGGGAGCAGGAATGCATTCTGTCAATTGTTTCTATCCCAGTGGTGGACAGATTCCCCCACCCCGCTGTGTATGCACAGAAATCAGTACTGAAGCCTGCTTAGAACACAATCCCCTCTACTGGTGCATCCTACCTGTCTTTTTCAACATGCATGCGTGTCTCTCTGTGTGTGTGTGTGTGTGTGTGTGTGTGGAGTGCTCTTCTCTCTATACTTTGACATTATTCTTATTTTTGTTAACATTCCGATCCCTCACAATAAGCAATAAAGAAAAATGGAATATTAACTCTGAATATTAAGGTATAGGTAAACAGCAAGATATTTTGATCAAATTGCTTGCACGTGGAAATCAAACTGCACACAGGGTATGTTGAATTAAACTAAAAAGTTGTTTTGAAGTTCTGATGAAAACACAATATAATTTTTTTCTTGGTTCTGAATTAAAAGGTGAAAAGCTCAACACTGATAAACATACTAAACAACACAGAAAAAAACCGTATTATTAATCAGTGGTAGTAACAATTTCTCATTCAAGAGAGGTACTAGAACATCATACTTCTAGAAAAACTTGTGTACTTAGGGCACTACCCTATAGGACGTAGCCTCAGTGCTTGAGAGTCCTGAACCTGGAGGCATACAAGCATACTATGTAGGGCAAAGAAGAGTGGCTGAGAATATCTTCAGCTTCTTTCCTCTCTCCCCGCAGTTTTGCTAGACAGGATTTGCCCATCTAGTGAAATAATTTTGGAAATGGAGGAAAGGAAGCTTGGAGAGACTTCAGCATAGCTTGTAGCCTGTCCTCTCTTCCTTGCTCACTGAAATGCCCCTTTTTATCTTTCTCCCTGATGTTCCTTTAGAGAGGCAGCCAGCACGGTTCTTTCTGCACCAGTTATGAGGGGAAGTGAGGTATCCAGCTTCAAAGTCAGAGCCCCATCTCTGACCTCAGAGCTGGGAATGTGAAATACCTGTCTAAGGGTCACTGGATTACTCCTTACAGAAGTATTTCCTTGATATGCTAAAAGCTGAGCAGACTGGATCAGTATCTACAACAGAGGGCCAGTTAAGGAGTCTAAAATGGAATATTCAGAAGGCACGGTACTTTTCAAGTACTATAGAAAAAAATAGTATCTTCTGACCTTCATTTCTCCTAAGTTCTTAGTAAGAATACAAATTCATACATATCCCACCCCCACATGCACACAGACTAAAAAACATAGAAACTACCCCCCAAACATGGGGAATTACAACATCTTAAAGACAAAGGGTTTTATACTGGCAATTTCAATATTTTGTAAACATTTGTAACAGTTGAAAAACCTATTCTTTGGATTTATTGCTAGCTAAAAATAATTTAACAATAATTTCTATTTTAGCTGCTTCTGCATAATTTAAGTTAAATCATTATCATTTTGAAGGAGCTATTTCTGTGCATAAAACATCAGCTTAATTGTGTTGGCCAAAAATCCATTTCTGAAAGAGGTCTAAGGGGTTACATGATACCATGCTTGGATGTTCTCTGTTTCCTGTAAGACACATATTTAATGCTGCATTGTACAGCAACTGGTCCTAGAACAGAGAAAGAGGATTAATTACATTTTACTCTCACTCTTCCTTTGAGGAGATTAGGGTACAAGACCCCATTTGTTCCATCCCACTTTATCCTTTAAGGCTCCCCACCCCACTTTAAAATAACACAGTAAGTAAGTTTAGTTAGAGAACCTCTTGGTTAAGTGGCAGTCTGATCCTCACTCCCAACAATGTTAACTGACATGCTACATCATGCCCATTATATCACACTGGGTCTCTTCCTCTGCCAAATCCTCTGCTCGAGATTTGGTATACTTCTATCTTGCTTGCATGACAAAATGTCATTGGCACTGGCAAAGACAGATAATTATTCACTATATATTTGATAGCACTGGAAGTTACTTAAATATATATCTATCTGGAATAGAGGCCATTGTATTCTAGTATGCATTAACTTTCAGACTGGGATAAAGCTTTCATAATGGGATAAAGCTGTGTAAGACCGCGCCGCGCCGGAGGGGAGCCGCTGCCTGGCCGCGTAAGACCGCGCCGCCATCCACCGCCCACTTGGCTGCTCCGCCACGCCCCAGCACGTGTGGCAGGCGTGCTTCGGACGAGGCGGGGGACGCAGGGCCGGCGGCTACAAAGGGCGTCGGCCAAAGGACAGTTGCCGCCGTTCGGGTGGCCGAGCAGGGGGCGGGGCTGGCCAGGGGCTTGCGCTTGGCGATGGTAGGCCCTCCTGCTGGGCTGTGAGTGAGGGGTGTGTGTGTGTGTGTGTGTGTGTGTGTTTTTAGTAGTATTTTAAATCTTTTTATGGAGTCGTCCCTGGCCATGCTGCCGCTTATGTTTCCTGGGGAGCGCACGGGTGCCGCCATTGAGGTGGTTATGGGCAGGGGACGTAACAGCGTTGGGAGCTTAACGTGTCCGCATAGAAGAAGGAGGGACAGATGGCTGACACCTGTCCCTACTTCTGGTTTTGCTCCCAGCCAGAGGGTGCCAGGGAGTCTCGTCAGTCGCCCCTCCAGCCTGACGGTGCTGTTGCTTAATGCCAGGTCGGTCAATAACAAATCTGCCCTCATCCAGGACCTGATTGTGGATGAGGGGGCCGACCTGGTCTGCATAACGGAGACCTGGGCGGGAGGGGGGGGGATGTTGCCCTCTCCCAAGTGTGCCCGCCCGGGTATCTGGTCCAGCACTGCTCACGGCTGGAGGGGAGGGGAGGGGGGGTCGCTTTGGTATACCGAGCCTCCATCTCCCTCACGGGACTTCCGGTCCCTTCGAGACCAGGGCTGGAGTGTCTCTATTTGGTGTTGGGCGACCGAGACAGACTGGGGATTCTGTTGGTGTACCGCGCACCCTTCTGCCCAACAGTCTCCCTGCCTGAGCTGACGGAGACTGTCTCGGACCTGGTGTTGAGGACCCCCAGGATGTTGGTCCTGGGGGACTTCAATCTCCATGCCGAGGCTAGTCTGACCGGGGCGGCTCAGGACTTCATGGCCTCCATGACGGCCATGGGGCTGTCTCAACATGTCACCGGCCCCACCCATGAACGGGGACACACTCTGGACCTGGTTTTCTCGACGAGGCAGGAAGAGGGTGGTCTGAGGGTGAGTAATTTATGCTTGACTCCCCTGTCATGGTCAGATCACTTCCTGGTGAGGTTTATGCTCGAGAGCGACTTCTCCCTCTGTAAGGGTGCGGACCCGATTATGTGGGTCCGCCCCCGGAGCCGGATGGATCCAGAAGGATTCCTGAAGGCCCTGGGGGAGTTTCCGGCTGACAAGACGGGTGCTCCTGTCGAGGCTCTGGTCGAACTGTGGAATGGGGAGATGACCAGGGCTGTAGACACGATCGCTCCTAAGCGTCCTCTCCCACCGGGCAGAGCCCGCTCTTCCCCTTGGTATACTCCTGAATTGAGGGCGATGAAGCAGGTTGGGAGACGACTAGAGCGTAGGTGGAGGAAATCACGAGATGAATCTGACCGAACACACTTAAGAGCCCACTATCGGGCCTATGCTGTGGCGGTGAGGGCGGCAAAAAAGAGATTCTTTTCCGCTTCCATTGCCTCCTCACAATGCCGTCCGGCGGAGCTCTTTCGAGTGGTGCAAGGCCTGGTCCGTCCAGGTCCAAAGGAAGACCTGATTCCACCCTCAAAGACCCGCTGTGACGACTTTGCCAGGCATTTCAGGGAGAAAATCGCTCAGATTCGTCACGAGCTGGACACCACTATTGATTCAGAGGTTTCAAAGGAGACACCAATGCTGCCGTCTGGTCCAGATTTATTGGATGAATTTCAGTTATTGCGGCCCGATGATGTGGACAAGGTGCTTGGGCGAGTACGTCCAACCACTTGCCTTTTGGACCCTTGCCCGTCTTGGTTAATAAATGATTCCAAGCACGGGATTGGAACCTGGATCTTGGAAGTGGTTAACGCTTCTCTGAGGGAGGGTCGGGTGCCGGCCCCTTTGAAGGAGGCGGTAGTCCGACCGGTCCTGAAGAAGGCGTCACTGGATCCAGAGATGGCCACTAATTATAGACCAGTGGCCAACATCCCGTTTCTGGGCAAGGTGTTAGAACGAGTGGTGGCGGGACAACTCCAAGCACTCTTGGATGAAACTGATTATCTGGACCCATTGCAGTCCGGCTTCAGACCCGGGTACGGTACTGAATCTGCCTTGGTCGCCCTGTATGATGACCTGTGCAGGGAGAAGGACAGGGGGAGTGCGTCCCTGTTGGTTCTGCTGGACCTCTCAGCAGCTTTCGATACCATCGACCATGGTATCCTTCTGGATAGGCTTGCGGGATTGGGGGTTGGAGGCACTGCTTTGCAGTGGTTCCGCTCCTATCTCAATGGCCGGTTCCAGAAGGTGGTGCTGGGGGACTATGGCTCTGCGCCATGGCAGCTATGCCATGGAGTACCGCAGGGGTCCATTTTGTCCCCTTTGCTGTTCAACATATACATGAAACCGCTGGGAGAGGTCATCAGGAGGTGTGGGCTGCGGAACCATCAGTACGCTGATGATACCCAGCTCTACCTCTCGTTTTCCACCAATCCAGGTGAGGCAGTGGCTGTGCTGAACCGGTGCCTGGCCGAGGTAATGGGCTGGATGAGGGCCAATAAACTGAAGCTCAATCCAGACAAGACGGAGGTCCTGTTGGTTGGTGGATCGGGCTTCGGAGAGGGTGAATTGAACCTTGTCCTGAATGGGGTTGCACTCCCTCTTAGGGACAAGGTCCGCAGCTTGGGAGTGCTCCTCGACCCAGAGCTTTCACTGGAAGCTCAGGTAACAGCAGTGGCGAGGAGTGCTTTCCTCCAGCTTCGGCTAATTCATCAGCTGCGCCCCTATCTGGAGAATGACTGCCTTGCGACAGTGACACATGCGTTGGTGACTTCCCGTTTGGACTTCTGCAACGCGCTCTACGTGGGGCTACCCTTGAAGACGGTCCGGATACTTCAATTGGTCCAAAATAGAGCTGCCAGGCTGCTGACGGGGACTGGACGTTATGTTCACATGACTCCAGTTCTCCGTCAGCTTCACTGGCTTCCCATTGAAGTCCGGGCCCAATTCAAGGTGTTGGCTATGACCTATAAAGCCCTAAACGGCTTGGGTCCTGGTTACCTGAAGGAGCGCTTACATCCTTATATGCCCAGCCGCCCCCTGAGATCGGCGGGAGAGGCCCTTCTCCGGGAGCCCTCCATGGAAGAAGTTAGGAGGGTGGTTACTCGGAGGAGGGCTTTCTCAGCGGTGGCGCCTAAGTTATGGAATGCGCTCCCCAGAGAGGTCTGCCTGGCGCCGTCGTTATTTGTTTTTCGGCGCCAGGCGAAGACCTTTTTATTTAAGCAGTATTTTAAATGTTAATATTATTGAATTTTATTTGGCCAGGGCGGCTTGTTTTATAGTGTATATTTGTATTTTATTGTATATATTTTAAAATGTTATTTTAAATTTTTTGTTGTAAGCCGCCCCGAGGCTTCGGCGAATGGGGCGGCATAAAAATGTTTTAATAAATAAATAAATAAATAAATAAATAATGATGATTACTTAAATGGAGCACAATAATACTTCCAAGAGAACCTGTGGAGTACCTGCAGCCCAGGGAGCCTATGTAGTCTTCAGATGACTTCCATGTGGTCTGCAGGCACCCTTCTTATCCATGTTCAAGCTGATGGACACACAGAGTGGGATTTCTGCAATCCCACTGTACACTACTCCCCTCCCCACTGCCTAGCTGGTTAGGGGCAGAAACTGTTGAGGAGTACAGCAGTTTCTCTTCATCCTGTGTGCTGAAAAGGGGAGAGTGAGAGTGCACATGTGTGAGGATGGGTCTGCCCAAGTATTCGTACATGTTAAACAGAGAGCGGGGGAGAGTGTGTGTGTAGGAAGAACACCTGTGTGCCCAGGCACCATCTATCGTGAACTCCGGCCATGTCTGGCACTAGCAGAGGCCATCCACCACTGCAAGTGATCTTTTGGACAAAACATTGCCCGCTCCTGTAACTGGCAATATCCTATGAAGCCAGAGCTCAAAAAGTAAACCCCTTCTACATTTAATTAGTGAAGAGCTCCTGTTTTTAAAGGCTGATGTATTTAATTGTTTGCAAACTGATTTCCTTTTAGAAAATACCTTTCGAATTTCCCATTTTTCTTCTTCACTGGTTCTGCTCTTCTTTCCTTTGTAGTTACATTCACGAAGTTGCACTGCTCCATGAAAAGCATGTAGACAGAGCTCCTTCTGGAGGTTGTGTCTAATTTCATGATGTGCAGAATATTCAAAGTACTGTGTAAACAAATGCCATTCAGTCAGGGAAAAATCCACCCAGAAAACATGATTGCTTGGTGGATTAAAAATGTAATAACTAAAATACATACAAAACTACCCAAAACACAATTATTATATGTGTCCCTTTAATCTCTGGATCATTATTTACACAACTGCATTATATGTTCCAAACTGAATATTTATAAGCATACTGAACAGTATTAGGGATATATGGCAGACTATAACGTGGACAATTAAAAAACAACATTGAAAATTTATATTTTGTTTCACTTCCTCCTAATACACAAAACAAAAGAGTATATTGGGGTGGGGATATCATTTGTGTGGCAGATTCTGAGGAAAACTAATTTGTAGAGAGCACCGTTAGCATGAGAAGTTGGGACAATGTGTAACATTCCTAGAATGAACAAACTCTTGTAACATAGAGGCATAATCCAGTCAAAGTTAAGCACTTTTAATTCCCTCTGATTTCAAGTATGGAGATACACAGAAAATTAGCTCACTGCCACTGAAACCAATGAGATTTATAAATGCTTAACTTTGACCAGATAGCGCCCAATATCCACAGTGCCTTAGCAGTGTAATGGGAATGCTTTCAGCTGCAACACAGAACAGGAAAATCACTAGTGTGGCACAGTTGCCAGACTCGCAGATCAGGCCAGACATATGCACATTTTAAAATACTAGGTTGTTTCTACCTTACTATATCAAACCAACAACAAATGAAATCTAAAAAAGAGATTCTACTGACTAGAAGAGTCTACTGAGATCAATGAGTTGCTAAACAATTTATTATTTACATCTTTTGTGGGACAAATGATACAAAGGCTACAAAGAAATGCTGAAGTTTGAGTACTTTCTCCTTTATAAGCTGGCATTTTTCATTTATCACTACAATTATTTTAATTTAATAAAAACTACTGTCTATTTATGTTTTCAGAAGATGCTGTAAATTTTGTACAATCCTTGTTCTACATGTTGTGAGTAAAGGAGAGTACATCAGAAATTCAGCCATCTAAGGATGTACATAGGCTGAAAATGGTAGGAGGTTTTTAGTGTAGGGAAGACCACTCTGACCTCTGAGCATGAGGCTTAAAGTTTGACAGGACTCAGGCCTGGTTGCTCAGTCTTGCCCACTGTCTTCCTCCTTGACAGCATAAGTTCTAGAGGCAAAGAAAAAAGCAGAAAGAGAAGAAAGAAGGGGGAAAGAAGTCAAGATTATCAAGTTTACAAGGTGGAAATGAAGCATGCCCTCATAAAATAGATAAGGACCAGACAAAAAGCTAAAGAAGAGATGAAGAGTGCATAGTAGAGACAGTTAAGGAACTAGTGCGATGTAGTCAAGATACAGGATTAGAGATGTCATTCAAGCTATTAGTGCAAGTTACAGAGGATGTGAGCTCAGCAACAAGGATTCAATTTGAGAGGCAGCATTCACTTTGGCTTCTAAGTAGGGTCATTCTCCCCTAACACAGTGCGTTCACTTTCCTCCACATACCTTAAATGATATGGCATGAAATGCTTAGAAGTACAGCTTAGACATAACACATCAGACTGCACAGATAAATGGCTGCAGCAGCTCACATCCGCAGGGCTGACTCCCAAGTTACGTGATGCCTTCAGAAGGGCTCACTGTCTTTTCTTGTGGCAGCTACAAGCACGTGGTGCAACGATTCTTGTGTGGGGGGTTGCCGCTGTAGTGACTGCAGTGGCACATGCCAACTGCAGGTAATGATGGCCATTTTAATTCCCCAACAATGTCCCTGGCCCAACACAGTGCTGCAACAGAGGTCTGCTGTTCGGAGCACTGTGCAGGGTATCTCTGGTTGCCCAGGGTCCAGTCCAAAGCAAAGGAAATCAGTGGCCACCTGGTTCTGGGAGACCACAAGACCCAGGCCATAGCTGGCACTCTGGACTTAGAGTTAGACCCTTCTGACCTGGGATGTGGGGCTTGTTCACCTATTTGTGTTGTATGTGTTCAGTAAATGCCCATGTAAAGAGCTTGTATATATTAGATCACTGGAACCATTATATGCACATGTTCTTATTTTGAAGCAGTCATGGAATATCTGTTTTGCATATGCTAGTTTTGGACATCTGAATATGTGGTTCTGCATTTCAGTAAAACTGCCACTGGAGGACTAATGTGCTATCATTAGGCACAAAAAAGAGTTTCTACATTTATATTAGCACAATATCCAAACATTGTTATGACTAAGAAAATTACATTGTACATATGGCATGTTATATTGATGTACAAAGACTTCTAGTTCTCAAGGAGCCAGACTTCCTGTCCTCAATTTGCCTTCTGTGCTCCAAAGAATACTAGCAAACACTCTGACACATTAAGAGGTTACCAGAAAGCAGTGATGGAACACTGCATGCTCACCATGGATGAACTGAAGGGGCTCCATGAAACAAAACCAATATTAGTTTGTGGTCGTGTTTTTCAGAGGAAGCTCGATAACAGTAGAAAAATGTCTTTCGTGTAACTCATTTGCATTATTGAACACAGGAGCCCAGTAAATCTGAAAAGCACCATATTATATATTTATCTTTATCACCTAGGTAAAAAATAAAATTTGATATTCTACCTGGTTTCCTCCAAGGCCATGGCAAGTATACATAATTAATGGTTTGCCACCTTGATTATTTTCTCCAACATCCAGACATGCTCTTCTTCCAATATTTTTTAACTAGGCAGAACAATACAAATGAAAATATAAGTACAGCAATAGCATGGGTGAATGCTATAAATTTTATTTTTCTTTTAAAAGAAAAGCATACTCACAGATCCAGATAACGGCGGATTCAGGTCAGGTACATATGCCTCAGGAAAAACATTGCTAAGATACCACGAAAAGTTTTTACACTGTAACTGTTGCCTTAATTCGTGTCTTTTTGATAGGTCACCAAACAAATTCTGTTGAAACAATGCTAAATAATTAGTTATATAAAATAAATAGGAACTATATGTCATTAAAATATTATCTTTTACTGGAGTTTTTAATGGCATGTATTTTTAATAAGGGGAATTTAGATAATACCATTTTAAAAAAGCATGGCATCTGTAATAGTGTGGGATATATGCTCATCTTATGCCAAAAATGGAAGATATAGCATGCTTGCCACAGTGTATCTATCATCTCAAAACACAATGGCTGATTTCAAAGAGGCCCTGTCAAAATGCTTGTTTGCTCAAGGAAGGGCTATTTAACACCCTGCGTTATAACTCTGCATAAATAATAGTAAACCCAAAGAAGTACATGGCCTGCTCAAAATGTTGTACAAATGGAAATGAAACAGAACTGATATACAATCTATCTACACAAGTTCTCACACAGTTTCTTTAGCTATTCTTCTGCCAATGACCCACTAGACTTAACATTTTTTGTAGTTAACAAGTTAATTATTAATTTTGCCAAATTACATAACAATTAAGAATTTGTTTCTCTGATAGCCATATGCTATTCAAGAGTACTTCCACCATACTGACAGAAATTTCCCACCAAATCCCAACCATTCTTGCATGTTTTGTGGGTTCTATCCACTGATCAGCTTGTTTCCAAATACTTCAACAGTACCTTCAGATTATTTTTCCAATATTGCAACATTTACCTTTCTCCAATAACAGAGATTTTTCCTATATCCCTTTTCAGTTAATATAACTGCTGCTTCAACTGGAAGGTGTATATTGTGCTCTCTAATAGAAAACCTGAATACCTATCAGTTTGAGAGTAAAACAGGTCCATCAAAAGCAAGACAGTAGTTCCTATCTACATGGGGATTCCTAGGTATTTATACATTTATCGGTTTGCAATTTAAAGGAGAAAAGCTCCACCCTTTGTCCTTCAGGACCTATGAAATACTGAGGATTTAGGTATAAGAAAGTGAACATGTTTTATTATCAGGAGATGGGACAGATTCCTATCTTTGCTGCTACATTTTATTTGAGGAATATATTGCTGTCTTACAAATCACAAATGCTAAAATCCTGGGTTTCTTCACTGCCTTATATAGGAAACCTTTCTTTCCACCCTGTAATAGAAGATGGGGGTAGGAGGTGGAAGAGCTAGAGGAATTAGAAATTAGGCAGAGTATAACAATGCAACAGAGCAAGGTCAACAGAACCACAGAAATTTGAAAGAGGGGAGAGAAAGGGTTTAGAACTCAGATTAGAAACTAGCTCCAAACCTCCTCCTTTTCAGAAACCCTGAGCTCCATTCCACTGGGTGGGCTCCTCTGGAGAAGGGCTAGCCTCCTAGATCTATGCAGGCCCTCTAACTGAGCAGCCCTTCTAACTTGTCAGGAACAGACTTGGCATGGGCTTTCCCCCCTCCTCTTCCCTGTCCCCACCCTTCACTTCCAAACCCTGTCTGTTGCCATGGTCTACCTGAGCATCTGGAAATGGCAGCCTTGACATAACCTCACCCTCTTCCACCATCTTGATTCCCACACTGCCCATTCCCCAGTCATCACATTCCTTATCCAAAGAGTCAGTGCAACCCTGACCCTGGAAGTGCACCAAGAATAACTGCCTTGACCATTCCCAACAATTCCATTTAACGATCTACAGTATCCTGGAGATGATCAACAGGGTTAGATGGATGCATACCATGTAGTTAAAACGTCCTCACACAACTTTCTCTCCATGATATAAAAATGCAAGTCCCAAGATATTTAGACCACTGGTCAGATCTGATCCTGGGACCTTAACCAGGAATGCACAGTTTGTGGCAAGTGTACAGGGAACACAGTTGGGATTTCATTCATTTTGGCTGCTCCAGGGTGAAGCACTGAGCATCCTGGAAACAAAGGTGCTGGACCACCCCATACTTTCCTTCCAGTCTTTCAGCTAGAGAGGAGAAATGTCAGCTTTCTTATAAGGCAGGGTGAGACCCGTGACTCAGACAGCAAATTGGCGCTGGGGGCCTCAATGGGTCATGGCAGCCACCTGCTACTTAGCCTGTGATCCCACTGTTGCAGTTGATCTTCTCCCTTCCCTCCTACCTGGCTCACATTATTAACAGGCCACTCTTCGTCTTCTCTAACCGCTTTGCCCCCTGCTGCTACTGCTGCTATGTTTCTGTGGACAGGCACTTGCCCACCTTTCATGAGTATGCCCACTTACCACACAGGTACTTGCCACACCTGGAAAATAGCCAGGCAGAGCCTTAAAGTTAAATTTAAAGAAGTGTTAGATATTGTTTGCTGCTGCAGCCAGCTGACCCATAATGCCTTGCTGTAAAAAAGATGACTCTAGCCTCCATTAATGCAGCAGCAAAAACATGACAGGTACTGGGGGGGGGGGGGTGCTGCTGCTTCTTCAGTCTTAGGCACTGCAATGTTTTGTACTGTCCCTGGGGAGGAGCGAGGGACCTCCCCCAGAACAATCCCAACTCACCACTGCAGTTGCAAGGTTGGGAAGAAGGCTCTCTTTGCTTGCTGGAGGGCCCCAGCACACTTGCTGCAGCTACTGCAAATGTGGAAGCCTACTTTTAGCACTAAAAATGCAGGGGAAGGAGGTCTTAGGAGGAAGAGAAAGAAAAAAAAGTGTGATCTCTGAGTTCCAAAAAGCTACTGTTCTAGATTGGCTGGAGACAGGAACAGGAGTACTGCTATTAAGAGCTGGGGAAATAATATAAAATTTACCAATCTCAGACAACACATTCATGATATATTATGTTTAGATATTTTCCAAGGATTTGATAGTTTGCAATATATGTTTCCCAATAGGCAAGTAATCAAGAGATAGAGTAACAAGAATCTTTCTTCTTAAAAACTGTATAGTACACACAAAGGAGAGCTGTGAAAATGGTGGTAGAGTGTGACTGAGCGTCCTCTGAGAAAGCAACTTTTAAAGAGGAGCCAATGGCTGCTACACTGACCAGGTGTGCATGATCATTGCAGCTCATTGAGACTTATTTATTGCCACCCTGAATATCCAATCATAGATACAGCTTGCTGTGCCATCTGAACCCGGGGTTTGGTCCCTAGGTACTACCTGAATGTACTACAACCCACACTGACTTAAAAATGCCACAGTCCAATCATGTTTACTGGTCCTCTGTCTGGGAGAGCCCATGAACTGATGGTAGCGATACCAGCTATTCTTTGTGCCTTCTAAATATGGAAGGAGTACATCTGAAAATAGACCTAGCACAGAAAGCAAAAGCTTTGATTAGGATAGAGGAGGAAAAATTGCAGGCTACCTGCACAATATCTCCCTGCATTACTGGATCTCTAGCAGACCCATGTCTGACATATATACATTGGCTACATGACAGTTTATAGGAACTAATGTAAACAGTATTCTTCCCCCTCCACATCCTAGGTTTGCCATGCTTAAGCACACTGACCAGCAACTTTTGGCTGCCCTGCTGGAGCAACCAAAAATTCTTTGCAGTCCCAAAAACAAATGGTCATTTACACATAGATTTACAGCAATGAATATTATCCAGGTCTATGCATCTAACATTAATCCTATCTGGTTGCTACTGCTTTAATTAAAACATTATTTTACAACCATCCTCTGTAATTCTAAACCTCAGTCAATGGAAGGAATTGAAATAGAATTCTTGAGCCAGGTTACTCAAATTCTAATAAGAGAGAATGAGTGCAATTCATTGAAATACTTGAGTTCATTGAACTTCCGGTAGACAGCACATTAAATGAAAATTGAATTGGGTACTGCCAATCTATTCAATACATGGTGGAGCAACACAAATGGGATAAAGAATGCCTATTATTTTTATATACTTTTAAATAATTTCACAATAAATAATTTTTGCTCACCAGGAACTTCAATGCAGCAACTGATTTCTAATACCACCACCATCGCCACCTACTTGTTTAACAATTTTTGTTGCCTCTGTGTTTCGCCGGTAATATATATATTTATATTCATCCATCCAGACTTCTGCAAGGCGAACTTGATTACGTATAATCACTTGAGTTCCTTTGGGAAAGGTATGAGGGCTCTTGCTACGGAATACATGGCCAACAACTGAGCAAGGAATGATTTCCAACTGACCTCCACACTGCCATATCTGAAATTAATACTCCTGTTAGTCTACCTTTAGTAGAAGCAACAGCTGCCAGATAATAGAGCAACAAATCTTCCTGATTCAAACCTTGTACACCCACCACACAGTACTAAAATGAAGTTGCTAACACGAATAAATAAGACCAGGTTCATCTGATCTCTGAGAGCTGGGGCTAAAGTGCAATAAAGGCTTTATCACAGCACATTCATTTGACTGATAACTTACACATGAATAGTTTGTCCTAAACTTACTCGGAAAGACATTTCGATATTTTCTCCTCCCCATATTTCCATTTCTTCATCGTAGCTCCCAATTTTGTAAAAGTAGTCTTTCGAAATTGAAAAGAGACCTCCTGCAAAAGTAGGTGTTCTAAAAACAATAAAAATATATGAGAGAGAGAGAGAGAGAGAGAGAGAGAGAAATAATCATTTAAGTTCTCCATCTGGCTAAAGTCTGTGATTATTTTTTTTAAGAACCCACAGCTATTTCCTCTTCTAGTAAGTCTCATCAACTGAGCCAACAACAGTCTGCGAGGCTCTCTGCATGGCTTGAAAGCCCACTATAGGTTATTTAACCCACAAGGAGGCTGCAATGTGTGCACTGGGTGTGCAGCCCCTCAATATTGCAACCCCTGCTTGGGGATCATTTGCTCATGCTACTTTCATAAGGACTCTCATACGAAAACACCCATTAATGAAGGAAACGAATTGACAACAGGTGAACATGCATCAATCACCACACTGAGAGCCAGTGTGGTGTAGTGGTTAAGAGCCTGGGACTGGGACTCAGACGACCTGGGTTCGGGTCCTCACTTGGCCATGGAGCCAACTGGGTGACTTTGGGCCAGTCACAGACTCTCAGCCCAACCTACCTCACAGGGTTGTTGTTGTGGGGATAAGATGGGGGAGGAGATGTAAGCTGCCTTGAGCCCTTTGTAGGAAAAAGGCAGGATATAAATCGGAAAATAAATAAATAAATTAAAATGATTGGTTACTGTTTTGACTTTGTAGCAAAACTACTATTGTTCAGGTATCAGCGCATACTGATTTCTGTGTCTATCCAGGAAGTTAAACTCATATACAGTCCACATCTGTATAACCCAAATCTTCAACTTTATTTAACAACACGAACAGTAAACTAGTAATAAATACAGAGTACTTAGTAACTGTAGGATGGGGAATGGAAGCACTCAGTCAGCTAGAGAGACAGATAAGCTGAACTGGCTGAAGAGAAAAAACAATACAGGCCTTATGGGCTGAAATCCAGAATAGCAACAAAGAATCAAGACTGAGGCAGTCTTCTTCCAGACTGAGGAAGAGTTGGTGCAAAACAGATAAGAAATTCTGCCTAGGCTAAACCAACCCATGCATGGCATCACAGCCAGAGCAGTTGCTAAAGGATGCACTGAGGATGAATGAGAGCATTTACAAATGCAAAGTCTAGAGGGTAATATAGAAAAATAACATAATGCCCAGACGAGGTGGAATTACTATCATGACAAATAATTATTCACATATTAACACCCATTTCATATCCATAACAGTATGAATAAACTGCTGTCCAGGGAAGAAATAGCTTCCATAATTTGAGGATAATAACCTTTCTGGTGCTGGCATTCTTCCCTTCCAACACAGTGCAATGGTATGACTAATTACAAGAAAACTCCATTGTGCAAACCATCTGCTTTACTAATCTGAAAGCAAGAAGTAGATGTTCTCGCATGTCATGATTTTATCGTCGTCGTCGTCATCATCATCATCATCACATATACCATTTTAAACTAAATTTCACTGGCATAATTATATTTAAACTCCCTTCTGTAATTTTCTGGAACATTTTCTTAACATCCAAAGCTACAAATTCATTTATAGTCATTACAAAAAGTCCTTATTAGAGGTGCCCAACCCACTTAATCTCATTTCATATGGCATCCCCTCTCTCTCAATCTGGCTACCATCCTTGTGGCCCTGTGCTGAACTGTCTCTAACTTTGCTATGTAATATGGAGCCCTGAACTGGACACAGTACTCCAGTGGTGGGTGCACCAGAGTCTTATAGAGCAGCACCAGCACCTCTCTTGATCTGGAAGCTGCAGCTCTGGCTCTACTACATCCAAGAGTGGCATTTGCCCTCCTAACCACCACGTCACACTGCTGGCTCATGTTTTGCTTGCTGTCTACAAGTTCCCTGAGATCCCTTTCACAAACGCTGCTCTCCAGCCACTTGTCCCCATCCTGTTTAACGATTTTAAAATATCTAAAAGCCAAAGTGGATCAACTGATACACAAACCTGGCATTTTCGTTTCTCCTAGTAAGGATATACAGCAATGTCTCAGTTGTTCTACTTCTATGTCTAGAACACCACTTGTTAAATTTCTGCTATAGCAAACCTCAGCCAAAAAATCACATTAGTATCCATTGCATAGGATTAAAAATGCAAATGATGGTTTGGACACAATTTTTTTCTATGGATATAGGTAATTTAATTTTTTTTATTTAGGTTTTCAAGCATTAAGACATTCAGATTTTGCTTCGGTTTAAAACTTCAGCTTCTCTGAAAAATACATATAACTCCTGGAGTACAATGTGAGAAGCATAAATAATATTGAAGTTAAAACATCTACTTAGCTGTCATCTTTTATTAACAAGATAAAAAGGATAAAGATAAAAGGATTGTAAATACTCATTAAGTAATTTTTTAGGATTTTTTCAATATGTCAAGAAACTAATTTGTAAAAAGAAGCGTTAAAGTGTAATTGCTTACTTAATAGGATAGGTTTCATCTTTTCTTCTTTTGTTTTCATGGTCAGGAAGAGCTTCCCATCCAAATGACAAAGTCCAGTCAAAATTCCCTCTGTTGTGGCTTTGACCATAAGGAGAAGGTTTCAGAAATTCAAATGTATTGAGATCTATAGCTGAAATATCAGGACTTACAACACAAGTATAGTTTTCAGCTATTCTGGCCAACAGAGGTTCTAGCCAGCCATAAAAACATTCACCTAGAAAAGGGAGAGATCATGACTATAGCAAGATATTTTTCCACATTCATAAAAGCAGAGTAACATTGTAATTACACTGAAGCAGCAATCCTATCCACATGTACCTGGAAGTAGTAAGTCTATAAGAAGTCAACAGTAGCTCTAATAACCATTATTTTATGAATTTCAGATGTTTATTTGATAGCTTGTTGGTTTATAGGTAACTGTCGAAGTACACATGATCAAGGGAAATGTACAAAAAGAGTAAAAAACTTCAGGAGACCATACAACTGAGCCCTTAAATACTAGGTTCGGTTCATCAACCATTCATTTAACATAGCGATATATTAGCTCAGATAAACATTAAAATGGAGACATGAGTTTCTTCATTGTGTCACTAAATCGATTAAAACAAGAAAAAACATTCATTTTGTGATGAGCTTCAGCACTGAGGAAAATTTGGATGGGGGATAAGAGGAAAAGAAACCATGAATAGATTCATTGGGAAAAAAGAATGAATTGTGGTCTGCAACAAATGCTGCAACTCATTCAGAAAAGTACCCAAGTTCCAGCATTCAACAAGTCATTCTTCCCAAGCATGGCATACTGCCATCCACCACTGTTTAAGAATATTTCTTTGTACATCCACTAACCTGAGGTATCACCTGAGCATGCAGATACAGTGGGATCCCTGTATCTATGGGGGAAATAGGTTTATATGCTTGTTTGTTTATGGCTTTTATCAGGGTTTTTGTCATAGAACGCACCGGAACGGTGTTCCGGCACCTTTTTTTCAATGGATTTTACAAAGTGATTTTGAACTGTGTAGCAGATCAGCAGCAAAGATAATTAACATAGTGCTTGCAGGCTGCTATTGTGTCTGCTATCTGATAGTGAGAGATAGCTGCTTGGGACGCTGCTCAGCTTGGGATTGGTGTGTGTGCTTACTGCTGGCAGGGACATGAGTTCCGGCACTTTTTTTTTTTTTTTTTTTACCAAAAAAGCACTGGCTTTTATAGACTGTGCATCTACTGGCATCTCACAACAATTTACAACAAAGCAGGTGCCTGAAACAGCAGGCAGTAGTGAACACTATTCTGTGTTTAATTTTTTTTGGATCGTGGTCAACTGTGGTTAAGTGAAACAGCAGTAATTGAAACAGCGGATACAGGGGGTTTACTGTAGTTGGTTCTTCTCTCCTAGTGAGGCCATTTTGCTGCAGTCTTGCCAGCACTCACCAGCTTAGTTAACTCGCTATTAGAAGAGTGATGCAGATTTGGCTATTACACTGGAAATAGTTATGTGAGTCTTTACAGGCAACTAGTTCTTGAATTCTCAGGGTGTGGAGGAACAACAGGTAATGCTATTCTATGGCAAGAAGAAAGTATTTTGAACAAGCTCAGTGGTATTTTTCTTCCTATATTCCACAGCTCAGCCCTGGTATTGACAAACAGATCCTGGGCAGAGGTCTTAAAAGTCTTGCACAAATTATCTTTTGGGGAGGAGACAAGGATGATGAACTTGCTCCTAACAAGGAACTTGGGTTATCAAGAAAATCTTCTTTTGTGGAGGATTGCTAGAAGGAAAGTTAAGGATGAAATAAGGAGTGGATTGTTACGTGGAAGAAAATGTATGCATTCTGTGGTTGCAGTTTGCTTGCCGGTACTACAGTCAGTGCTTAATTTCTAAAGAGAAAGCTGCTGCAACATTTATCTGAGTGATATGCCACTTCCCACTAGACTGATTTTTTTAAAGGTATAAGCCTGTGTAGAGCATGGGAATGTTTCTTGTTAGTAAAGGAAAAGCAATCTGTACTAATAAAAGCTAATAATACTCATATGAGCATATTTCTACTTAACCATTCTCTGGATTCAGTGACTGATCACTTCTTGGGTTCGTCAACTTCCTCCAAAAAGGAATGAAGAAGCACATCTAAAAATTGGACCAATGTTATTGACAGGAATTGCCCGTTTCTGTTACCTGGAACAATCTGTTGGCATTCATTTTTAGTTTTCCCTCTGTACCATGTTTGAGTCTGGATTGACTGGCATTGTCTGTCAGGCTGCTGTACTGGAATATTGGAGTCTGTCGAAATATAAGCCCCTAATATAAGCATTGACTTCCAGTAAGACAGCAATGTGATCAGATAATAGCCTGTACCTCTTCCAACTCTTAAAATGCTATCAAGATTCTGGTGTTATTGGTTTGCTGTGCTTGGGAAGTGTGTTTGATCATGGCTACATTGAGAGCACAGAAAGACTAGGAAATGCTACCCAATCCCACATAATCTCCTCAGCCAAGACTTTCTGAGAAGCCTGAAGGAGAAAACTTGATTATGATGACAAAGAGGATACAGTTAACACTCTTGAGTAGTTGCAGGTGATTCCTGATTCTGTGAAAGCTATCAAGGTATCTGCTGATTCTATGGGCCTTAACCTGATGCAGCAAAGTAATTATGTAGGAGGATCACAAAACAGCAAATACACCTTCTCACAGTATAATACCTGCATGTGTTTCTCTGCTGGAAAGGTTTTCTCAGAAACTATTTTGCATGTATTTCAAGAACAGACTATACTGGTCTAACCAGGCAATATTTACGGATACATTCTTACAAAGGTTAGTTGCATTCCCACCAGATAAGCAGGGCCCATTATTGTTCAAGTTTCAGTTCATGAGTATTTGCTTCACATATCCAGGCAGAGAGGAAAGCTTCAGTGGGACTCTGCCAAAAATGAAATTACAATTTATCTAGATTACCCCAAGGAAGTTTCAGACTGGAAAATACAATTTACCAAGGAAAGGATCTCGGCAAGGAAGATCAGTCTGCAGTATTATATTTGTTACCCATATTTTTTTTTTTCGCTGCCTATCAAGGGCAACTAAAGAAGTTTTGGTCTCTTGGTGAGGTAGAATCAGTTGTTTCTGCCTCAACTGTTACTATCTAAGAAGCTGGATATAGCCCTTAGCCAGCCTTCTGTTGTTTACTAATGTTTAGGCTCTCCCAATCAATAAGAGTTCTGAGCATTCGACCATGTTTTATTTTGTTTCAGTGTTTGTTTTTTTCCTTCCTTACTTTCTCTTTTTGTTTCTAATTCTTCTTTCTTGTATCATTATAAATTATTATTTACTTACTATAGACCAATGCATTTAATATATTTACAAGGAATAAAATATATTTAAGATGTTGTTGTTGTTCAGTTCCGTCAAGTTATCTCCAACTTAAGGCAACCTCATGAATGAATGCCTTCCAAAAAGTCCTGTCCTTCACAGTCTTGTTCAGCTCTTGTAAATTTATGTAGGATCTAGTAATTGGGTAAGGATGCAATGAGAGGTTAACTTCATGGGATGTACTAGAAGGCAAAAAATCTTTTTTCACTTTAATTTGTTTATAACATTTCCAGTATATGGGGCATGATGGGGGTGTTGATACTATTTTGGGACTTGTTTTTACTTTCAATCTTTTAAAATGTTTCTGTAAGGTTTAGCATAAAATACTAGCTATCATTTTTTTCATTGAAATGGATCATATTTAAACTTATTTGTTCTATCATTTTAAAATAGGTAATTTATATACAATTGCTAAGATTTGTATGCGTGGAAGGGCAAACAATATTATTTTTCTTTGTGTTCAGAAGAATGTCATGGAATGTCAAAGGGCTGTAGAATTTAAGTAGGTCAAAGAGAGTGCTTTTTAAATTAAAAAAGCTTAATGCTAATGTGGGGGGGGTTTGCAAGAAACCCATTTGTTGGCTGTAGATGAACATTTCTTGAGAAATAGGTTAGCTAGCTCCATGTAACATACTTCACAAGGTTTAATGGGGTTGGGACTTTAATGCTTAAGCAGCTCTCCTTTTTAGCTGAATAGGTCCATCACTTTCTGCTTTAGAAGTATATTTATAAGGCAGCTGCTATGATTAAGATGTATAGATCTTGGTTGTATTTCATGAATGTTTTAGCAAATTGGTTATCTCTTGTGATTGTGGTGGGGCAGGACTCTTTCCTGCATAGGAATCAACCTGTTTCTAAGAGGCAAGCAGTGCTGAGAGATTTATGCTTCAGGTTATAGGGCTGAACTCAAGCTTCACTGATACTTGGAAAATTATGCATCCTGGTAAGAAGACTAGACTTTTATTTGTGCCACATAATGAGAGTCAGTGCAGTGTGGTAGTTACAGTGCTAGATAGGAGACCCAGGAGATCCAGATTCTAGCCCACACTCAGCCATGAAGCTCACTTGGTGACTTTGGATCAGCCCAGCCTATATCACAGGATTGTTGTAAGGATAAAAATGGAGCTTTGAAAGGCACCTTGGGTTCCACACAAAAGGAAAAATGAAGGATATGAATAAAATATAATAGTAATAATTGTTTTTAGATTATTTTTTGGTTTCTATATTTGCTACATCAACATTTTTTGTAAGAGTGATACACTGCAAGTTTTACTATATGCTTCTGTCTGTCTGGAGAAGCCTTTAATTTGCCAACCTCCCTGGTCAGTGGCATTTTAATGTTTTTCTTCTTAATGAGATATTTACAAAACAGATTTATTAAAAAGATTTTAAAAGTACTGAGAATACTGTATATTCTTGTGCCACTGGATGGGAGGTCAAGAGTTTTTATACAGGGCTAAATTATCACCAGTACTTCCTATGCAAGAATATGCAGATAATATCTTGAAATAAGAAGTTGAAATTGCGTTCAACTCAGTTTGTATTTACTCAATTGAACAACTTTATCAGGAGCTGCAGAATGTTAAATATGAGTTAAATTATATTCTTTCACAATAGGTGGAATCTGCTATATCCTGTATATGACAGACAGATTATGAAAATGGGGAACATCCTAATAAGATTTTGGCATATCATCTTAAATAACAAAAACACTGGCATGTTATTTCAATATTAAGGATGAGAGTGATATGATCTACACCTCTCCTACAGATATAAACTCAGTTTTTAAAGTTATATTCTGATTTGCATAGTGCACATAGTGAAACAAGATATAGATGCTTTTTATTATGTTACTTGTCCATGCTTAGGTTCCTCACAACAGCCATTTCTTTTAGTTCTGCATATGGAGGAAATTACAAAAGCAATTACAAATATGTATAAGGGGAAATCACCTGGTCCACATGGGTTTCCAAACATATTCTAATCTGCTAGTTCCAAAGGTTTATCACCTTTACAATCATATTTTGAATTGGGCTTCCTTTATTCATTGTTAAATTATCCTTATATTACACTTGTTCTTGTGCTATTGACCTACTTAATTATTGTAGCTAGTAAAATATTAACTGAAATACCTGACAAGAGATTGCAACAAGTTATTACAACACTAGTTCAATCAGCCTAGGCAGAATTTATAAAACACAGAAATGGGACTGATAATCTTAGATCAGTTATTGATTTGTTAGCATTAAATATTGGCAGAACAAGCTGGGTTTCCATTGTTTCTTTGCATGCTGAAAATGACTTGGCAAATCAAATAGAAATTAATTTTGATATATTGAATAATTTTAACTTTCCTGAAGTATTTTTTAAATAGGTCAAAATATTGTATACAACCTAAAGTTAGGATTTCCCTGGATTTAACTTTGGAGAGGTAGCAAATAAGGATGTCTTTCTCCATTTGTATTTGATTTATGTTTGGAACTTCTTGTGTGCACTCTTAGACAAAAGATCAATAGTTATGGCTTTACATGTGATAGTTTAGAATTTAAAATTATTCTTTATTCTGATCAACCCATTGTTTATCTCAAACTCCAATAATCTGTTCCAGTTTTGAAGTGGTTAATTAATACTTCTCATGATTTGTTGGATTATTCAATTAACTGGCCAAAGTAAAAAAAATGCTGATTGGAGATACTACATCTCACAGTGTGTTAGTGCATTGGCAAGTTTGACGGTGCTCAGATTTTATTCCTTATTTGAGAAGATTTTTTTTTCCAAGAGAGGCATCTCAAATGATCAAGCTAAACTTGAATAAGCTGATAAATGATACATCATGGAAGAGTAAGCTTGTAGAGTAAGATTAACACATGTAAGATAAATACTATATCCTGGATTGTTTATGTTATATGTGGGATTCCTTTAGTCATACCAGGCCAATATTTTTTTTTAAAAAAATACTTTGTTCTGTAAATTTTAGGGAAATGCTACCCTCCCACAAATATCTTTGAAAAGAATTCAACTTCTAATTAAAAAGATGGGTTTGGATTTCCAGATGTTGCTTCATCATTGGGCCTATTTGTTGATCAGTGCTAAATTTTGGTCTTTTCCACTCAGATGTGATTTTCTCCCTTGATCTACCTTGGTCTGGATTCCCTCTCCAAATGGATGACATTAGGTTCTCTGCACTCTAAAAGGGATATAGATTGTCTCACAGCTATGGCTGTTAGAAATGTGTGGCATGTAATATGTCAATTACATTCTAATCCATTTTTCCATGGTAAATTGGAAAAAAACTGACAAATTATATTTGCCTGCTATGTTTGAATGGTAATACTTGCAATTCAAGATTTGTTAGGAAAGAAGTTTGGCCCTGGCTGCTTTCACAGCTTCACAATCTCCTTTGCTATTTTGTTGCTACATGCCATCAAGTTATCTCTGACTTACAGTGAATATCCTCCAAAATGTCCTGTCCTTGATAGCCCTGCTCAGCTCTTGTAAACTCAAGGCTGTGGCTCCCCTTATTGAGTCAACCATCTCATATTTGCTACTGGAAGTACTTACATAAGCTGATCAGATATCAATTTCGATAAATACCTATGATGCAAGTTGATAATATCAGTAAATAAAAATGATGCACAGAGTTTTAACCAGGAATGGAATAGGGGACTGGTCAGTCCTATTCTGTCTAATCAATGGATTGCCACTTTGGCTTCTGTATTTGAAGCTTCAGTGGATTGCATCTACTCAACATTTTTTGGTTCATGTGTATCAGATACAGCAAGATTTCTTTAACAGAGTTTGTCTAAGTCAGCTAATGGCTGGTGGTGTAAGACAGCAAATACTTCTTTTAATCATATGCTTTAGCAATGCCCAGTAATTGTCTCCTTTTGGGAAGAGGTCATAATTCAAATAAACTTTGTACTGTAATACTTAGTAATGTACTTGCCAGTTTAGATTATCTTCCTGCTTCCTAGAACTGACACATGGTTAATGTAAATGGATTCTCTGGGACCTTTTGACAGCTAATACTGATACTGCAACATTGGAAGGATAAATGTTCACTTCCAACAATGCAATGGATTGCAGACCTAATAGCACTTTAGGTATTTGAAGGAGGGATATGCAGATGTCACTTATGAATGGATACATATATGGATATTTTGTCTTTGACTCTGAAGTTTATGTTTAATTTTTTAAAGAACATTGCTTTTCATATAAAGAAAGAGACAGAGTTTTCACATGTGTTAATTGAAACTGATATATCCAAATTTTTGTTGCTGTGTGTTTCATTTTTCTTCTTTTTAATGGTTTTGTTGACATTTACAGTAATTTTTAAATACGTCTTGGGAGCTGTAAAATATTAAAAGGCTTGGTTTTGGTGGCACTCATTTGGGAAGTGACTCATTTGGGAAGTGCACTCTTTTGGTGCTGTGGGATTCCAGTACAGTAAAAGGCGGCACTTTCAGAGTTCTCAGTATAAACATGCTCTCTATATAGCACAATGAATCTTACAGCACCCTCTAGGCGCAGACTGAAGAACTGCGAGCCAGATTCTATGGGGTAATCTCAAGTATTTAAAATACTTTAAAAGCCACTAAGAAGCTAATTTTAAGTTACAGAAATGAAAAACTCCCCCACACTGTTCCTTTCAGTTGCATGTTATGAAACAGTGTGTATTTCCATTGGTGATGTTGCTATTCTATTTCTATAGTTTCAGTTCAAGAAAATATATCTATTAGAGAGCTTAGGCCAAGTAAGAATTCAAAACAAAAAGACTATTAGCAAACTGAACTCTATTACCATCTAGAGATACTTACAGTGTGCATCCAAAAAAGTGAGGGTTTCTCCAGTTGCTACTGAAGCACCTAGTAATCGAGCAGCAATGAGTCCTTTTCTTTCATTTTGTCGGACAACTTTAACTAAATTGTTGAATTGTTTCACGTAATTATCCAATTTATCCTTCAAGTATTCTGAAAAGACAGGAAGTCAATATTTGCCTGTTTCTTAGAAACTGTTACTTTTTTTAGCTGAGTAGTTAGTTATAAAAAAAATCAGTCAAAATACATTCATTTTTAAATGCCTATAGTGTCAGGGCATAGCATGTGCTTTGATTGGAATGTGAACAAGTGGCCAAATAAGTGAACAAGCAGCTGTTTATACCTTTCTCAATTCAGACATCCTGCCTACATGTAATTAAGCTTCCTTAAATGTGTAATGATATAATAAATCAAAGGAGCCAGACAGATAGTACAAAAAGAACATGAAATCTGTATTTGCCAGAAATGTAATAAACCAATTCAACTTGAGAGAGCTTGTTTTTCATAAATATATAGAGATTTCATATCAAGGACATTTTGTAGCTTCTGTGTTCAAACAATGTCTATTTTCAGCACAGAAGAAACCAAAAAAGTAAATGTGAAAAGTTACACATACATAGAAACAATATCTTCCTTACCATCTTCACTGGCATCGTCCACCAAAATTATTTCTTTCAGTAATATTTCAGGGGAAGTATATATCACACTGTGTACTGTTCTTAGCAGAGTAGACCACGCCTCATTGTGAAAAACTATGATAACACTTGTAGTAGGTAGTGGAGGACAGCGTTTAAACTTTTGCTCAATACATCTAGAGAATAAAACCAAGTGTACAGAACCAAACATGAACAATAGTATCAGATCTTGATGCTTTAACATGGCATGGATACAGCAATATCATATGCTTGGCAAGTGTCGCAGGACCTCTCCCCTCAGAACACACATGAGTTGTAAGAAATGCCATTCACAAGATCAGGGTGGCAGAAATGTTTCATAAGATTTCTAATTTACAAACAGTTTTTCATACCACAACATGAAGGGTATATAAACATTTAGAATAACTGCTTAATTCAGAGTTAAATTTATGCTTAATTCAGAATTGATCAGGGACTTTTCAAGGATTCTGTGATGAAGAAAGGCCATCTAAAGTTGGAGAACAAGAACTGTGAATGTTATCCTTGCTCACCAACACATCTTAAACAAATTATAAGAAAGGTCTTCAAATCCATACAAACTTACAGCGGGATTTGTTAACATTTCTTAGGGTGCTTTCAGAAGAAGAGTTCACTGCTACCAACAGTGATCAACTCATGAAGAGGCCTTCAATCAGTCTAAATATATTCATATATTGCCTTGGCAAATAGATTGTATAGAGATGGATGGATGGATGTAAATAAATAGGTAGTGCACCTGTTTTGGTTTTTCCTCAAGAGATTTTGTCAGGTATGAAAAAAGGCAGAAGAAACTATGAGAAAGCAAGGGAGAACTACAAATTGAAGATGATATCGCCTTGACCCTTCCTAAGTTTCTGTGAATGAGACACAGCAATCACACAGCAAAAGCCTCATCTGAAAGTACCCTTAGATGCATTAGAGTTAGACAAGAGATTAAAGAAATGTTATATACTACAGTTACAAAACTGTCACAAATGTAAAAATTAGTAAGTAGCAATTATTCTAATAACAACAGTCACAAATCACATATTAATACAGCAATCAGGAGATCAAAAACCCTTTTCAGTATTTTGCATAGTTAAAGGCTGTTTTTTCCTAAAAAAAAAGAAAGAAAGAAAGAAAAGAAAAGAAAAGAAAAAGGCAAATGCATTTCAACATACTCTGGTGGTCGCGTGTCTGGTCCTAGATCCCGATGTAAAGAAATCCTGTCACTTGCAAAGGCATTAAAACAATGTTTTTCATATCCACGATCCTTTTCCTTCTCCTCATGTGGACTTAAATTGACAGCTTTGTATGCTTTACCAGAAGCTCCTGGAGCATTAGGATCCTGAGGGGGTCGATCCATGCGAGGCATCAGTTCTGCTCCTGTATAGAATCCTTGTAAACAGGGTTTCTGTCCAGCATTTGGAGTTTGCCTAATAGGTGCTTTAATCTGCATTTTTGGCTTTGCAGGTTTAATATTGTTCACAGCTTTTAATACTAAACCAAGTACATTAGTTATTTTTCCTTCTTTTGATGGTATTTCTGGCTCCTCATTAAAATCCCGCATTCCTACTTCTCGTTGTAACAAAAACAAAAATACTAAGAATATAAAAATAACAAAGGTAAACTTCCAAATTTTCCAGTGAGATATCTGTTTCATTACAAATCGTTTTAGCATTCTTAGGTAAGCCATCATGGAGAGTCCACATACAGAACGGCTTCTCAAAATGTTATTCTTTTTTCATCAGGGTAGTCAGATGCTTGCCAAAATGGTAAAATCTGCAAGATTTTTTTAAAAAGAAAAAGAAAAATGTTGTTGATGAGTTCAGTGATACAAATGGTTTATAAGAATAATTGTGTCCACTTAATCGGTGTCAGGAAAAAACCTTCTTTATTTTCCTGCTATTTTAATGTTTAATTGATTTTAACTGGAGTTTTAGTATATCAATTGTCAGATGCTGTGGTGTTTGTTTTATTCTACTCATTTTTTGCAAGCCATCCCAAGATGTTTGTAGCGGATGGGTTAGAAAAGCTTTTAATATATAAATAATAAATAAATAATTGGGTAAGAAAGACAACACTATGCAAGATAGTTTTCTTATCAGTGTGGCTCAAACGGTGTTCTCTTTTCTAAACTTATGAGGGCTTTTGGATCACTTAAGAAACTTTGTCAATTATGTAACCAACTTATTTTCCCTGAGTTCTTCCTGCCCACCTTCCTGCCCCTCTGCCCTTGTGCTACCTTTTCCGACATAAACTATAAATCACCTTCCCTCAGTTTTACTATCCAGCCAAAGGTAACTGGGCTTACAATTTCAGCCTGGAGGTTTCATTATACTTTTTCAGTGCTCTGCATACATTGCCACCCACACTTCAGAAACATTTAAAGCTTAACAGCCTGTTTTTACAGCCCCAAACATTTGAAGGCCTAATATCAGTCAGGCTTGCAAAATCATGTATTCCATATTCTTACTTGCATCCCATGCTTTTCAGTTTAAAAAACACCATACTGAAACAGTATTCAACATTAAGACAGTACTATCCCAAAGTCCCTCTTCATAGATCACTGCCTTTTTGTGGCAAAGGGGCTTGTGTAGCTCAATGAAGCTATGAGCTATGCCGTGCAGGGCCACCCAAGACAGACAGGTCATAGCAGACAGCTCTGACAAAACATGATCCACTGGAGAAGGAAATGGCAACCCACTCCAGAATCTTTGCCATGAAAACCCCATGGACAATACCAAAAGCCAAAAAGATATGACACTGGAAGATGAGCCCCTCAGGTCAGAAGGTGTCCAATATGCTACTCGGGAAGAGCAGAGGGCTAGTACTAGTAGTGCCAGAAAGAATGAAGTGACTGGGTCAAAGCCGAAAGGACACTCAGTTGCCGATGTATCTGGCTGGTGGTGAAAGGAGCGTCCGATGCTGCAAAGATCTATACTCCATAGGAACCTGGAATGTAACATCCATGAATCAAGGCAAGCTGGACATGGTCAAACAAGAGATGACAAGACTGAACATCGATATCTTACGAATCAGTGAACTAAAATGGACAGGAATGGGTGAATTTAATTCAGATGACCATCAGGTATACTACTACGGGCAAGAATCCCTCAGAAGAAATGGAGTAGTCTTCACAGTCAATAAAAGAGTAGGAAAAACAGTAATGGAATACAATCTCCAAAATGACAGAATGATCTCAGTTCAAATCCAAGGAAAACCATTCAACATCACAGTAGTCCAAGTCTAAGCCCGAACCACTGGTGCTGAAGAGGCTGAAGCTGACCAGTTCTATGAAGCCTACAACACCTTCTAGAATTAACACCAAAAAATGATGTTCTTATCATCATGGGGGACTGGAATGCTAAAGGAGGAAGCCAAAGATAACTGGAATAACAGGCAAGTTTGGCCTTGGAGTACAAAATGAAGCAGGGCACAGGCTGGTAGAATTTTGTCAAGAAAATACGACGGTCATAGCAACACTCTTTTCCAACAACCCAAGAGACGATACTACACATGGACATCACCAGACGGTCAACACAGAAATCAGATTGGCTATGTGCTCTGCAGCCAAAGATGGAGACGCTCTATACAATCAGTAAAAACTAGACCAGGAGCTGACTGTGGCTCAGATCATGAGCTTCTTGTTGCAAAATTTAGGCATAAATTGAAGAAAGTAGGGAAAAGCACTAGGCCACTCAGGTATGACCTAAATCATATCCCTGATGAATATACAGTAGAGGTGACAAATAGATTTAAGGAATTAGATCTGATAGACAAGAGTGCCTGAAGAACTATGGACGGAGGTTCGGAACACTGTACAAGAGGTAGCAACTAAAACCATCCCAAAGAAAAAGAAATGCAAGAAAGCAAAATGGCAAAAAGCAAAAAGAACGGAAGTGAAAGGCAAGGGAGAAAGAGAAAGATACACCCAATTGAATGCAGAATTCCAGAGAATAGCTAGAAGAGATAAGAATGCCTTCTTAAATGAACAGTGCAAAGAAATAGAAGAAAACAATAAAATAGGGAGGACCAGAGATCTCTTCAACAAAATTGGAGATATGAAGGGAACGTTTCATGCAAAGATGGGCATGATAAAGGACCAAAATGGCAGGGACCTAACAGAGGCAGAAGAGATTAAGAAGAGGTGGCAAGATTACACAGCTTACACATACAAGAAAGAGCTTAACATCCCTGATAATCACGATGGGGTGGTCACTGACGTCGAGCCAGACATCCTGGAATGTGAAGTAAAATGGGCCTTAGAAAGTCTGAGCAACAACAAAGCTAGTGGAGGTGACAGTATTCCAGCTGAGCTATTCAAAATCTTAAAAGACAATGCAGTAAAGGTGCTACACTCAATCTGCCAGCAAATTTGGAAAACTCAGTAGTGGCCACAGAATTGGAAAAGGTCAATTTACATTCTGATCCCAAAGAAGGGCAATGCCAAAGAATGTTCAAACTACCACATCATTGCACTCATTTCACATGCTAGCAAAGTTATGCTCAAAATCCTACAAGCTAGGCTCCAGCAGTATGTGGACCCAGAACTATCAGAAGTACAGGCAGGATTTTGAAGAGGGAGAGGAAATAAGAGATCAAATCTAATCGGCAGAGGATGAGGTGGCTAGATGGAGTCACTGAAGCAGTCAGTGTGAGCTTAAGTGGACTCCGGGGGATGGTGGAGGATAGGAAGGACTGGAGGAATGTTGTCCATGGGGTCACGACGAACAACAACAACAATCTCAAAGTCAAAATGCAGTCTACTGAGAGCCTTCTGATAAAACTGCAATTACCGGCAAAGCAGGGAGGGGGTGATTCCCTCTCTCCTGTGTTAACCCCTCTGTGGTCTCAGAATCTACAGTGGTGAAATCTATGGAGAAGCTTTTGACCACATGCAAGTGAAAAGTTTCCTCATGTGAGTGGCTGTCTGCTGATAACAATATAGAATTCCAATTCATTCATTCATTCATTCATTCATTCAATGTTTATTCTACCCCACAGTGAAGAATGTAAGGTAAAAGCTTGTGTATCATGATAAATGGTTCAGGAATCTTCTCAACCGATGGACTCACAAATCATAAACACTGGTTGCCTTTCACATAATATGGTGAATCCAAAGTCTATTATAAAGAAACTACCAACATACAGGAAAATTCTTCTTTGCATGTGACTGGGCCGTATTACATGAGGGAGAGAAAGTGCCATAGCAACAAAAGTGTTATTTTATTCACTATTCAAAACTAAATGGGGTTTAAGGTCATTAATATTTATAATATTTATTTCATTTCTATATTGCCCCATAGAAGAAGTTCTCTGGGTGATTTACAACAATCAATAAAACAGACAATAAAATGCACTAGAATACCATAAAATTGAGGGGGAAAACCCATAGCAGTTTAAAACAGCTAAAGGAGACAACAGCAAAGAATGCAAAACATCTGGGATGGGTAATCCCCTTCAAGCTCCTGATAGGCCAAGTAAGTCTTTAAAGTCCTCAGAAAAGAGGGCTGTCCTAACCTGGCACCAAAAAGATGACAAATTTGGTACCAACCAAGCCACAGTGAGGAGGTTGCTTCACAGATGGGGGGCAACACAGAGAAAGCCTTCCCTCTTGCTGCTACTGTCCACACTTCCCTCAGAGTTGACACTCAGAGGAAGGCCCCAGAGATTGAGCATTGTGTCCACAACTGGGAGAGGCACTCTGACTGGTAGTGTGTTTAAGTCATGTAACAGCTTTATAGAGTAAAACCAGCACCTTGAATTGGGAGAAGGAGGATACAGGCAGCCAGTGCAAGCAGGCCAGAACTGGTCTTATGTGTTTGAACCTAACAGGTTTTGATTATTAATTTGGTTGCTGCATTCTGCACCAACTGAAGCTTCTGAACTGTATTCAAAGGCAGCTTCAGAACAAGTACATTGCAGTAATCTAATTTGTAATTTATTTTTTAAATAATAAGAAACAAAATGGAAAACATAGAACATCAAAACGTTACTAAGGGCCATTGTACAAAAATGCTTATAAAATTAGATGCAGGAAGTTTCACAAAGAATCAGCAATAATCTTTATTTCATTTAAACTTATAACTACAATTTTACATGATAATACATAAGTAGAAATAATGTTCGTTAAATTGGTAAGTAGGAAAATAAAACTAGTAATTTCACATGAAAAATTGCTTTAACGTAGACAACAAGTAAGATATGATTCACCCTAGAGCCTATTCAGAAACCAAATTAGAATTTAAAATACTTTCCCTCTCTTTTCTCCCTCTCCTCCTCCATTCTCTGCCCATTTTCCCTTCTCCTCTTCCTCCCTTCCTTATTTCACAAAACAATTATATTAATCTAATTATTGTTTACATTATGCATTAATGATATCCAAATATTCCATTTGCCATAATCTAATTTAGAGATTACTAGAGTGCAGATAACTGAAGCCAGGTTATCCCTGTCCAGATAGGGTTGTAGCTGGGCCACCAGCCAAAGTTGGTAGAAGGCACTCCGAGCCACTGAGGCCATATGAGTCCCAAATTACAAAGCTGGATCAAGGAACACTGAAAATATATACAGTGGTACCTCGGCTCACAAAAGCCTCGGTTCATGACCAAATCGGGTAGCGGACAAAAATTTCATTAAAAATTTGACTCGGGTCGCGAACTCCACATTGGGTGGCGATTGCAATCGTGGCCATCCCCCCCCACCCCTC